TTTCACAAAAACAAATTCAAATTCCTTTATTTAAAACAAGAGCAATATCTTGTCGATATTCTATCAATTGCTCCCAAAATTTATTTCCCAATTTCTGAAGGAACGCAAGCTTTTAGAATGATTTCGAAGGGATGGAAACTTATTTTTGTTTATCAAGAAAGCATATCTTGTGAATTTGGCTGATGAATCAGGTATATAAAATCAGAAAAGAAAGACTCTAAAATACGGGGGAATGAGAACATTTTTTTAAGTCAACGAGCCAGGAGGTTTAACCCCAAAGGTTAATTAGTCAGCTTGACAACAAAACACAGAGTTATACAACCCGTAACATTTATATCTCAAGAAAGTGAAAACCTTAATCAAAAAAGAATTTTTTCAACTTTTCGCTATTTTTCTTTGTTGATTTTTTATGTTCTGCGAAGAACTGAAATTAAGCTTCAGTAATAGGTAATGTTAATTGAAGCAAATCAAAATTTTAAAAACGAATCGGATTTTTTATCAGATATTCATTCTTCTAGTAGAAAAAAAATTCGAAAACCGATTTGAAGACAACCTTTTTCTAAAAGCGAAAAAAAAATTTTTTTGTTTGGATTTTTGGTGGCTAAAATTTTAGCAGCATGATCGATTCACATTTCACCCTGAGGCAACAGATTAGAATTAATCGTTAGTAATCCATTGTTTTAATAAATTCAAAATTTTTTATAGTCCATTCAAAAATAATTGACTTGGATTTTTTTTTATTTAGTCTCGTGCAAAGTTTTGCAAGAATGTCTGCTTTCATTATATAAGTTATGCAAAAATTTTGCAAAACGATCTGAGTGTACGGATTACTCGATTTCAAAAACTACACTTAGACGAATTGCAAATTTCAGCCACCCCCAACGTTTTTTGCAGTTTCTTAATCCCCTTCCCGGCCAAGAAAAATTTTTCGATTGGTTTTTTTTTCTGTCAAACCTGTCAAAAACAGGTCAAAATTCCATTTTTGGCCACTCAATGAAAAGTTTCTACGAAACGTCTTCATTTACGCGTTTCCTCTCAAATTTAGTATATACATTATATACATTAATGGCAAAGAAACAAACTTTAACCACCTCCGTTTTTAATTCCCCTCCCCCAAAGTTTTCAAAAATATTAAGAAATAAAATGGAAGGAAAAAATTGAATAATTCAAATTGCATACCAAAAATCAAATTGTGCAGCAAAAAACTATGTTGAATAACTTTATTTTGAAACGTGCAAGCAACTTTTTGCTGTTGAAGTTTGCATGCGTACCCCCATCTTAAGGAAAAAGAAAAAATATCGAAATCAATTGAGTTTGTTCATCGATATTTATAAAAAAGAAAAAAAATTATTATAATTGATCTACAAATACCTTTTATTGCTTTAATAAAAAATTGCAGTATGATACATTTTTAGCACATTATATACCCTTTTTTTTGTTTTTACAGACACTGACGAAAAAACTCGAATGCAATCAATATATATCCATAGAACTCCCATTAAGAGAAAAACGTAGACCTCTATTTTTTAAAACAGTTTCAAATTTTTCAATCCTTTCATTGCAACTGCTCAATGCCTTTGGTTTTTGATAGTAAAATGTCATCTAACCGGTCAAGATGAAAATAGACCTGAGTTTTATTAGCTTGTCTCTGCAAAAAATATTCCTACGCAAAACAGAACTGTACAGGGTCTTGAAAAACCAAAAAAAAAAATAACATAGCTAGCAGAAAGTAGGCAAAATATCAATCAACTCAAGGACACCAAAAAATTGACTTTTGTGATCGTTTTTCAGTTTCCGAAGTTGAAGTTTATTAAATTGCAGTAAAATTTTGTTGGATAATTTTTGATAAATTAAAAAAATGGATCAAAAATTATTTTTTCTGTTCCGTTTATGAATTCTGAAAATTGACTTCCAAAAAAGCGTTTCTTACGCCATTTGTACTTTAAGAGTTGCGTAAATTGATTTGCTATTCGCAACTGCTTAGAACTGAGAGTAAGAAATCAAAACCAAACAGCAAAAAAACCAAATGTCAACAAATTTTAAAATTATTTGTTGAAAAACACGCCAGAGGTCCTGAGTAAAAGATAAATCGTTTCAATAATTAATACTTTTATAAGCAAAAAAATCGCAATTTAATTAGGAGATCAATCTTTCGTTTGTCAAGGTTTTGAAAAACAGTGCTATGAACAGTTCGAAATGACGATTGTTGTTAAAAGTGAGAGTGACCATCGAGATCAAATAGAACTATTTTGTATCTATACCGGCACTCAGTAAAGAGAAAATAATCGTTTATATTATAATTATAATCGTACTTTTAGCAAAATTATAATTATTTATAAGTGCCAATTTTAGATGTTTAAACGATTTATAATCCATAATAATGATAAATATTTTTGTGACAATTTAATCAATTATAATCAATTATAATTGATTATAATTTTTCCGAAAATCTCTTACAATCTCTTATAATCTATTTTAATCTATTATAATAAAATATAATCCCTTTTTCTATCATAATATTAATTTACAAGAAAATTGAAATATAATGGATTATAATTTAGCTACTCTGCATAAAAAAAAACACAGTAAAAATCAGTATGAAGTAATAAATCAGCAAGCCAGGGGCGGATATGAGATTTTCTCGACGGGTGAAGGCGGATTCTCGAAAAAAAAAATTTCCGAAAACTTTATCGACCTTTTTTTAGGTCGACCAAATTGATTTTCCGAGCTCTCCCAAAGCACTTAAAAAACCCTGTTTTGGCCAAAGATTGTGCACCGCAGCAAAACTTTTGAACCCCCCTCAAAATTAGTTTTCATTGGCGCGGAAGGCCAAAGGGTCCGTCACCAAATATGGATATCTCAAAACAGTATAAAAGGGAACCCTTTGGGTAGGTAGGGGGTCGAGTCCCTGAAAAAAGACAAACACACCCCCCTCCCCCTAAATCCGTCCTTGCAGTAAACAGTAAGAAAATGAACAGTCAGCAAAAAATAGAAAGAAAAGAAAATTAAAAGAAACTAACTGAAAAGTACACAAAACAAAAGAAAACAAAACGAAATGAAGCGATGACGTTTTTTGAATAAAAATTGATTATAATCGATTGAAATGGATTATAATTCAATAAAAATTCATAAATAATTTTTTCAAAAAATTCGATTATAATCGATTAAAATGGGGTTTTTTTGTTTCGAAAAATGGTAACATTATGATCCTTTTTTAATCGATTATAATCTTTTTTTTTGAAACTTATGGAGACTGACAATAAAAATCCATTATGATATATTGTTTTCTCTTTTTATTGAATGCGCGTATACTGTTTCTTTATCTACACTGTTTTGTATCTAGATTGTTTTCGGTAAATATACTGATTTTTATCCACTACTTTGTGTTTGAATATGTTGAATGGGTTGCAAGGGTTATAATTTGAAAAGAAAGCATAAAACCTCTATACTGCAATAAATTAATAAAAAATAAAAAATTGAAAAACGGTTTCTCTCGACATTAGACATGCGTTAAAAAAATTTAAAAATCAAACGCAAGTTCTTTCAAATAGCGTTTTAAGAAAAAAAATTTTTCACGAAGAAGAAAAAACATGCGAAACATTTCAAAGTTTTTCCTAGAAACTTGCACATACTAAGCAAAATCTCTCATCAGAATCTGCTGTCAACTACCTCAATACAAGACAGCGAATTGCACGATTGCACAAAATATATTCTTTGGGTTTATACATGATATTTGAAAGAGTTCAAAATAGTTGTGCTCTAATTATAAATTGAAAACAAGGATAGCTGGTTACTGAGCAAGTGGCACAAAATGTTCCGACCATAATCTTAAAAATACATCAAAATTTTTCAAAGTATTGTCGGTTTTTTTCGGCGTGGTGTGATAAAAAGAATTGAACAAAACACTGAAGATTAGGTGTATTTGACAGTCATAGTAAAATAATCAAATTGAAAAACAGTTTTGCAGAAAAAATGCTTGAAAAGGAAAAAATCGAAAAAAACTTTAGGAAAATTTTTTCTCAAATTTTGCAGTTTTTTGACGTTTTGAAAATTTTGATTCCAAAAAGGGGCTAAAATACTCAAAGTAAACTAATGTTACTCGAGTAAAACTAAGTTTTTACGTTTTAAATTAAGCTATTGTAAGCTTTTAAGCAATCAAAATAAGACTGCTCGTGCTCGCTTGCCTTAATCGCTCGAGTTAAGACGAAAAATCAAAAATTTCAAACTGTTTTTCTCAACAGGGATTTTTTTAAAACTTTTTTAATGTGGTACGAATTTTGACGTGTACGAAAAACTTCAATGTTTGAGTGCGATTGTTTTCAGCTTATCATTTTATTTTTAACAGTAGAAGTTAAAATGAAAAATTCAAAGTGAAACCTTAAAACTCCATTTTAACCTAAATACCCCGCAATTATGTTCTTCAATATATCATCTACGTTATCAAAAAGCACCGAATACAAAGTTCTTTCGTTACTTCTTTTTATATAAGTCTACATTGTGTATCTCTTCAACAAAATCACTAAAGGTCTTATTTGACAGAGCCGCTTACCTGAAAAGTTGATTCAGAATCAGTTGATAATGTCGAAACTTTGAATTAGCGCCAATCAAACTGTAGAGCTAACTAAAGTCAAACGGTATCTTCACAGCGTTTTTTCAACATTTCTAACTTTGTGGTTTTCAAACTTTTCAAAATGTCAAAATTGATTAAAACATTTTGGCAGCTTATCAAATTTAGGCCAGAGGGTTTTTCAGGAGGAAAGTGTCTACTGAAAACAAAGATTGAAAAGGGAATAATTGAAAAGACTCAAATTCAACTAGAAATTGTAGTTATAATGAGCCGTAATGTAGTAATTTTGACGTTCTGAAATCTATTTATCAATGCTCGTTGCTTTTAACTGAATTGCTACCAATGAAAGCATTTACCCTAAAAAAAAGAAAAAGAAGTAAGAATCTCTACCTGTAGAAATGGGCACCGGGCAATAGAAATATAAATTACTTACGGTGATGAGAAAATGCTATGGGTGGTTTGGGAGATAATATTTCAGCAGAATCCGTTGAAATTTTTCCGAATGAATTGTCTAGTGAGTGAGCTGAACTGCTAAGCACGTCCGATGTTTTGTTGGCCGAGTTTGATCCCAGAAAGTTGTTGGATTTATTCAAAAGGCGGGGAGAAACTTGAAAGTCATCAAATTTAGGCAGTTTATTTTGGCAGTCACAAGCATGGTTGTTTAGATCAGTTTTGCTCAATTTTTTGGGAAAAACATCCCAAAATCCACTCGCGATTGAAGTTTTCGGTTTTCTGCTACAGTCGGCTTTAGCTGCCATGTCTGTAATTGGTAGTGTTTTGGGAGTTTGTGAAAGTATTCCTGTTTCTCCGTTCTTGTAGCCTAATCCTGTTTGTTTCCGAAACTTTTTTGAGGGTTTCGACCTTTTTAACGACTGATGACGTCTGAATAATGACATTTTATAAACTTTCAATTTTTGATAAGCCAGGAAGAGTTAATCTGATTTGAAATGAACAAAAGTTGGGGAGAGATTGAATTTGCGTAGTGGCGACTTTTCGAAGGGTGAATTCGATGGATGGTAATGAAATTAGAGTGAAGTTAAGCTCTCCCCGTTTTTTAGGATGTGAAATAGAAAACTGGCGTGGAATTTGCTCAAGAAAAAAAAGTAAGTGGAAATGAAACCAATATGATGAATATTTCATTAAAAGAACAATTATTCTCGTATGATGGCTAAGCAGTGAATCTTCCGGTCGCCTTTAAGCAAGTCTGATTTAGATTTTGGTTCAAAGCCATTTTTTCAAAGTAACTCAACATTTTTGAACAAAGATCCGACTCAATTCATAGTAAAATAGTTTCTAAGCCGAAATGGCTTCTGTTAAAAGAAACTCCCGCTTCGATTTTCCGGTGCTAGAATAAATTTTGTCGAAGTAGCAGGACAATCTTCCCTATGCCATTCTACCTTATGTTATTCTAACCTATGTCATTCTACTCTGCGCCTAATTTAAGACGGAATGATTACAGCAAAATAGTGATCTATCTGAAGTCCAGCCAACGTGTTGCGAGCTTGCCAGTAGAGGTTAGGGCTCTTTACGAAAATTAGCCTTGAACCCGAGATAGTCAGCTCAGTAATCTCTGACCAACTGAAATGTTTATAGTTCGAAGGGTAGATTGTATTATTAATTATATTAGTATAGGGTAGAATGGGATAGGGTAGATTGTCATGAAATCTTTGTCGAAACTAAAATTCGTTAAGCAAAATTTGTCTGGAGAAAAAATCACGCATCCAGCACTAATATTTGATCACTTTCCTAGCCGGAACTAAAAATATATGGATGAATTGGGTTCAAATTTTTCTTAAGCAGTCCAACTGTAAAATGAAAACCAACTTAGTTTTTAATGAGTTTCGAAACACTACTCCGTGTTTTTTAACGACAATTTTATAATTATCATCGAAGCTCAAGCTTTTTATGCTAAAAAAATCACAATTTCAGCTAGTTTTGATCAAAACTTGATGTAATGAACGTTGAACAGAAAAAATGGAGTTATAAAACAGACGTTTTGGGAGCTTCATAGGAACCTTCGAACATGTGCCTGACGCTTCAAGAGTTGTCTGCTAAACACAAAAATATGTTCTCAAATGTCAAACCCTGACAACTCCAAAATTTTTTCGCTCGGAAAGTGATTGAATATTCTGTACAATGACGCATGACTTCAATTTCGCACAGGATGATAAAATATTTAGTTTCTTTTTTTTTCAGGAACTTGAGAGTACCCAAAGTTAAATCCTGTCGCCTCTGGAATACGATAGGCTGTTAAGTTGGTAAATGTCAGATTTGAGGAAGGAATTTAAATTTTGAAAGGATGAGTCTCGTCTCAACAAAAATCTTTTTTTTAGTGTAATATAGTTTGTAGAGATTAATAGAATTAATGAAAAAGGAATCAATCTAAGCTTGAAAATCAGTTATTGATTGACTTTTTATTATTGACAATTCGACTGTTTTGCATTAAAAATAAACAAAGTAAGTAAGATTTTCTGCAATATTGGATGTAGTAAATTAAAAATCAGGGATTTTTGGGATAAAAACCTGTTTTTTAAAAAAGATATGTTTGTTCTTAATAAATGCTAATTAGTATTGAAGCTTACAAAATTTGTCTCCGAGGAGTGCTTGCCAAACAGGGCTAATTTGAAGCTACAACATCCCAAGTTTGTGTAGCCCGAATCAATATAGAACAGTGCATCTCAATACTGATCGAATTAACTCCCTTATTAAAGTCGATGGGTTTTGAGAGCTCCATCATCCCCGCGGTCAAATTCCAAAAAAGCTCCTCTTCCTGCCTTTTCGAGCCTAATGTAGCATAAATTAGCTGATCTCGGAGTAGGCTGAGAGACTGTCACCAGAGCAAATAATCAATTAGCACGTCCTTCAATTGATATATCCCTTACGGCCTGTATTTATTCTAATCAAATGGGTCAGACAACTTGGGGGGGAGACAACTTGCACGAAAAAACTAGGCTCGCGTTAAAAGGCAACTTGCAATATACTCGCAGCCGCAGCCGCACCAACGTGTTGAGAGTTTGCAAACAGAGGGTAGGACTTTATATAAAACTTAGAGCCGATTATAGCGTAGCGCGCGCACCGTCGACCTTAAACCAAAATTCCTAAGTTAGAAACTAATTTTTAAACTTCGCAACTGTCGTTTTTGATAAAATTTGCTAGTTACCTTTTTACGAGTTGTCTTTTGCAACGAGTTGTCGCGGTACCCCTTTAAGGGGCTGGTCGGAACGACAATTGTATTAATGTGATGCTTTCAGCCGAATCTTTCAAAGTGCTAAGCAGTGTTCAACCGGTACTATGATTTTCCCAAGCTCTAAAGAGAACGCCAAAAACAAACCTACGAGATCCACTGAAATAACAATCATTTTTCATTGGCGCAAACGCACCATCGCACTCGGTAAAAGAAGTTAGTGATCAGTTTTAATATCATTTTAGCTTCAGTTTATGTAAAGTGGAGGAAAAAAACTCTTCTAGCCAATGAAAGTTCTTTTACAATTCGTTTGTTATATAAAAAAAATATCAACTATAAGGTAAAATTAACCAATTGTAATTCATTGTGAATATTTTTTCAGCTTTTTATTTCTACCTATATATAATTTAAAATACTTATATTCAATTACAAGTATTCATTTAAAAAATAGCACAGAGCTTTCAAGCTTAGTCTGTTAAACGCAAAATTAGATTTACTCAGAGACAATTTACTCTGAGACTTCAAATATATGATATATTTCTCAGAAGCTCAGACATCTCTTTTTACTGAAACAGGCATAATCTGGACTTATTATCAAATACTTTTATTGTTCCGACTTTCGATACGAAAGTGTCATACCGCTACTGCAGTAGCAGTATTTATATACGTAAGTACAGCTAACCTTTGGTGCTCAATCATTATTTTATGGTATGCTCAAGGTCATACGTAAGTGATGACACTGAGATTAAGCGAGGGATCAGAGTTCTTAACAATGATCTATCTCTCAGTACAACACCAAAACAAAAGAAACAGAAAACCTAAATTCAATATCCAAAATACAGTATTGAATTACAACTTGTTTGCAATCGATATCGCAAGGCATATCACATGGCGCAGCCAGCAGGATTCGCAGCTCAAGACAACAGAACGGATATGGGAATTCCGGTATTTTGGGCATCAGCGAATCTAGACCCTCCGTGGCAATTTAAATTTTGGTTCGAACAATTTCTCATGGCGGTTACGGTCAAAGAAAATGTGAACCCAGAGATTATTTTGGAAGAACCAAAAGACATATTAGAGGAACCACCACCACGCCCGGAAACGCCCAGGGATGGGGAGAACGAAGATGCGAGGAACGCTAGGATTCTTAGAGATAAGCTAGCAAGGGATAGAGTAGTATTGGAGAACGAAGACAGAAAGACAAGAGGCCCACGAGTCGGACACAATGTCTTCTACAACGAAGTACAAAAGAAACTGGTGTCAAGATTATTTTTATCTTTGGGTACAGAGGGAAAGAAGAGATTCCTACAAAAGAACCCGCACGTTGAAATATCGAAAATGACGTTCAGGGAAATAACAGATTTGGCAGAAGTCTCGTTTCAAAAGGTAAAATGTGTAACATACGAAAGATACAAGTTATTTACGAGAATGCAAGAATCTGGAGAATCTCTAGAATCATTCCACGCAGCGTTAACTGCTCAAGCAGCCCGATCAGAACTGGGAGCATTGGAAAATGAAATAGTGCGAGACCTGTTCATCTCGAAAATGAAAAACATGACATTGCAGCACACGTTGACATTCGAAACTCTAGATCCGGTGGAAGTTTTAAAAAGGGCTATAAAATTCGAACATAGCAAGTTAACCACAATGGCGTTTCAGAAGACTAATGCTGCGGCTACAGGGGGATCAAGTAGCAATTACACCTCGGGTGTGAGGGTAAAACAGGAACCTGTAATGGCAGTTCGAAATTTGGGGGGGACAACCAAAACTCCAAATAGAAGAGAAACGCATAAAAGACAGAATAATAACAAGAATCAAAACACGAAAACAAAACCATGTAATAGATGTGGAAGGACGTTTGAACAGGGACACCTAAAAAATTGTCCAGCGATGGGGAAAACCTGTAAACACTGTGGCAAACCCAATCATTTCGCTAAAATGTGCAGATCCCAACAAGTAAGTGAAGTTGCGGAAGAATCGGAAGGATCGGTAGAGGAATGCGATCAGATCAGTGAAGGTGTTGGGTCATGTAGTGAATTTGAAGTTATGTCGATACAAACCTACCAACCTGAAAATGAGCGAGTTTCAAAATATGTGAAAGACCGAATCAACGAAATGAGAAACAAAACAGACGGAAAAGTGGTACGAGTTCAGAAAATAGATTCGATTCGCGATCCAACATTGAATCGCGTAAAATCACTAAAAGCCATGGTACGAATAGATAATCAGATAATTCAATTAACAGTGGACACTGGAAGTCCTGTTTCATTTCTCAACTGGGCCACGACAAAGGAAATTATGGAAAAATCAAACAAAGTGAGATTCATACCGTCCGATAAATTGAACTTACAAACCAAATTTGTGGACTACAATAAACAACCGATCAGTATTCTGGGAGCCCTAAAAACCAATCTGAGGTCAGCGGGCTGGGAAGTAAAGGGCGCAACCTTTCTGGTATCAGAACGAAAAACCAGATGCATCATGGGATTAGACCTGCAAGGACAAGTGGGAATAGTGACTACACAAAGACCAGCGCCAAAAGAACTCACCAGGTTTGACGTGCTCATGTGCGAGCAGTCAGAAGGTTGGAAAAAAAATTTTTTCACTAAATTTAAAAACTTATTTGAAAGACAAGGCATTTCGAAAAATCACATTGTCAGTTCAAAATTCAAATACCCACTATGTCCGATTCAAGAAAAGGGGAGAAGAATCCCAATTCACATACAAGATAAAGTCGAAAAAGAAATCGAGAAGTTATTGACAGAAGGTCATATAACAAAACTTGATAAATGTACAAGTGATTGCTTTATCGCCCCGATTGTGATAACAGTAAAGAAGGACGACTCAATAAAATTGGCAATGGATGCAAAACCAATCAATAGGCAATTGTTCAAAAACAAATACCAAATGCCAAATGTAGATGAACTTATTGATGGGGTAAGCCAGATTGTTACCGAAAACAAAAAGGGTACGCTATATTTTTCGGTGTTAGATTTGAAATATTCGTACAGTCAATTAAAATTGGCTGCTGATACAGCTAGGCAATGCAATTTTAACATTGTTGGCGGAAAAGCAACTGGAACTTACAGATTCTTGACAGGGTTCTATGGTCTAGCAGATATGCCAGCTGAATTTCAAAAGGCCATGGATAGAACCATCAACCACGCCAAAAACACGTTCTGTTTTCTGGATGACATACTTATTGTGTCAAAGGGAAGTGAAATCGAACATGCAAACTTAATAGAAGCAGTATTAAAGAAATTGGATGCGGAAAATTTGGCATTGAAACTATCAAAATGTGAATTTTTCAAACAAGAAGTGAATTGGTTGGGTCATCATCTCTCAGAAGAAGGGGTTAGACCAAAAATCACTAAAACGGAAGCGGTAGTAAACTTGAACACGCCGAAATCTCTAAAGCAACTAAGGTCATTCTTGGGAAGCATAAATCACTTAGCTAAATTTATACCTAACGTAGCAAGTCTGACTGAGAGATTAAGACCACTTCTTACAGAAGAAAATCAAAAGAAAAAATTAAAAAACATGAAACTCCCGGTGAAAAAATTCGAATGGGGAGATGATGACACAGTAGTATTTAATGCTATAAAAGAGGCGGTGGCAAATATTACGAAAGTACACTATTACGATGCAAATAGTGAAACACGAGTTAAATGCGATGCTAGCCATGATGGGCTAGGGGCTACTTTAGAACAACAAAATGATGAAGAGCTATGGGTCCCAATTTCGTTCGCATCCCGATACTTAAACGCCCAAGAAAAAAAAATATTCAACAAATGAGTTGGAGTTATTGGCAGTTGTTTGGGCAGTAGATAGATATAAACACTACCTTCTGGGGAAACCATTTACCATCGCAACTGACCACAAAGCGCTTACAACAGCATTGGATGTTAACCAATCGAACAAGACCTACCAATCACGTTTAACCCGGTGGGTTGACCGGTTACTGCCATATCAGTTCAACATAGTTCACATTCCGGGGAGGGATATGGGCATAGTTGATTATTTATCGCGTGATCCTTTCAATGATCCCTGGCCCGAATCAGAATTAGACGAAAAGTTTGTAGTAGCGACAATAAACTCCTTTCATGAAGCGTTCGACTGCTGGAACAGTAGG